TCCTCCGCCGAGCCGCGGCGGGAGTGGGGGCTGCGACTGGGACCCTGGGCTCGCCCGACCCGACAGCGCCCGGGAGCCCAGATCCAAGCTCCATCCAGCTCGGACGCTCATCACACCTCGCCCGAGCTCCCACCACGGACTGCGAAGTCGGCGCGGTGCGGGGCCCCTGCCCGCCCGCTGCGATCTCGATCCCCCTGGCCCGCATCTCCGAGCAAGTACCGGGAGCAGGGACGCGGCTGCTGGGAGGCAGGGAGGACGGGGCACCGCAGGCCGGGGGCGAGTCCCGAAGTGCGAGAGGGACCCGGGAGATGCCAGCGCTCGGTGTGCCTGGCTGGCGGACAGGGTCGGCGGAGTTGAGGTGCGCGGAGGGCGGAGGGGACCTGGCCGAGCCCCGTCACTGCGCGGTGGGCGCAGGGTCTGGGCGCCTCTGCCCACCGGGTTTCTCTGAGTCGCTGCCCCTGGAACGGGGAGCGCGAAAGGGGATGACTTGAGGCGCGCACCGTACAGAGGGTGGAAAACCTGGTCCCTTGCCTCCTCAGCAGGGAAACTAAGGCTCCGAGACCTGCGGAGAACCGGACCCTTTTGATGCCCCCGAAGGGACGCATCGTTCCGGACTTTGGTGTCACGGCTGCACCTCTGTCCTTGTGCAGGCGGGAGTCTGAGCACCTCCCAGCTGCTTGGCTCGAGCGCAGAGTCGGAGAACGGGGCCCCGAGAAACATCAGTCGCAGAGTCCATCTCTTTCCCGCACCCCACTCTCCCTTGGGCTTTGTTAGACCGAGGTCTCCCGAGGCGGAGAGCCGAGCCGGCGACCGCTTCTCCAGCCCCCCGACCTCGCTCGGCTGTGGCCCCGGGCCCGCCCTCGTCGGTTCCCAGCCTCTGGCCCTGTTTCCCTGGCTTCGGAGACCCGCCTCCGCACCCCCACCCCCGCTCGCGTCCCCACTCGGTCTGCGCCTGCAGGCCCCTCCAGCCCCTCCTCCCGCTAACGTGGCTCTGGGACCCGGTCCCGGCCCAGACTCTGCTACCCGCCCCTCTCGGAGCCCCGGATCCAGTGAGGGGGAGACACGTCGAGCCCCTGGCCCCAGGCCCACCTCATGCGAGGCTCTAGACACCTGGATTAGCCTCGCTGGGGGCTGGGTGGGAGGGAGGGAAGGTGTGAGCCTGGGGCTGTGAGCGGAGGGTGGAAAGGCGGTGGAGATGCGAACGCGCCCGTTCTGCGAGGCTCCTCGGCGCGCCCCCCGCTCCCCCAGAGGAAGGTGTGCTGGGGCGGGCGACCAGCCAGAGGGCTTCCTGCTATTGTCCCTAGCCCGGTCTCCCCTTCTCCATCCCTTCCCCAGCCCCCGCTAGACTCAGGCTATGACCCTAGCCACTCCCCAGAGGTGGCTGCAGGGCCAGGAGGAGAGAGAAGGGCTGTTTCCTCTGCCCAGCCAGGGGAGAGCCTAGGAGGGGGAGAGAGAGCCGGCCAGGCCTCCCGGTTCGCTTCTGAAACAGCTGGGATTGGTCTGCCAGGGTCAGCCTTTCTCCAGGCTGCTCAACTGCTGCTCCCCCAAAGCAGCTATGGAAAGCCCTCTTAAAGATGTGTCATAGTTAAGTCTAGGGGGCCCATGCAAAGGCCAACCAAGTGTTTTTAGAGGCTGGACCTAGGCGGGGGGTGGGGTGGAGAGAAATTGGGTGTGAAGGACGCAGGGCCTGCTCTGGGAAGAAGGAAGGGGCTGGGGGTGCTTGCTATCAGCATTTTGCCTAGAAATGAAGAGCATGTAAATGAGATGCAAATTAGCCTCTATTGTCCCCAGCTAGGGCGCTTTTGCTAAGAAGGCTGCTGGATTCTGTGGGAGTGGTCCTCGTGCCCCACACACTCTCCCTGTCATCCCTTTCCCAAGACTGGTCTTGCAGTTCCAGGAGTTCATGGCTAGGGACAAGCCCCAGGCCCTGCCCTCCCATCCCTGGGCATGAAGGGCCCAGCACCTTTGTAACTAAGCTCAGCGTCAACACACACACACACACACACACACACACACACGCACACACGCACGCACACACGCACGCACGCACACACGCACTCTCCAGGGCAGCATCACCCCTATCCTAATCTCAGTAGACTTCTCGTGAATTTTCACATTTACTTTTAAGGCATGTGGCGAGGAGCTATAACAGTCTCTTCCTCCTCTGTCCCTCCTCCCATCAGGTCGGAGATCTCCTATCTCCCTCAAACCCCTACGGGAGTCACCACACCAGGTAAGGAGAGGGCAGCGGCTCCTGAGGGCTGGGGATGGAAGCTGAGCTGGCCTGGGAGCAGGAAGAGGGTCTGGCCATTCTCCCCACTTGCCAGAGACCAAAGTTGTTCCCTGGGTGAAGATACCAGTTGCCCAGGGCAACTTGGGAGGGGTGAGCAGGAGGGGGAGGTGAGGAGACAAGCTGTGTCCCTCTCTCTTCCCCTGGGAGCGTCAGCATCCGGAAATGTGGGGGCGGGGAAGGGAGGTCTGGACTTCCAGCACCAGAGGGTACTTAGCCAGCTGACTGCCCCAACCCTGGGGAGGGGGTCATCATTAGTCGTTCCTACCCCTTCCCCTCCTCCAGTCTCTTGAGACCTTGTCTGACGTCAGCCTCCCCACCAGTGACGCTGGGTCGGGGGTGGGGTACACTTCAGTCCTGGCTCCAAGAGTGGAATCGTTGGGAAGATGGACTAGGCTGAGCCTGGAAGCCCAGGGTCTCTTCTTCAGGGGTCATGGCAGGATGGGCAGCCGAGGATCGGTGGAGGGAAGCTGACCGTTCACGGAAAGGGTCCCCACCCTTCCTGACCTGATTGGGGAGCCTGCACAGCCCCTCACTTCAGGGGAAGGAAGGCGGGGAGCCAGCGCACACGTCCCACTGTGGGCCCAGCCAGAGGGGAGGCTCGTCCCTTCCACCAGACCCATCTTCTCCTGGACTTTGGGCCACCCTTGCTTGCCGGTCATTGAATGACTTATACTTCCACTTGGAGGCAGCCCGAAGAAGGAAGGGAGACATGGGTACCCATCTCCTCACCAGTGACACCCCTTCTATCCCTGGCTCCTCATAGGGGGTGGGTCTGCCCTTCCCCTCCATCAAGCATAAGCACTGGTTCTTAGGAGCCAGGGAGGGGGCTAGAGAGGCTGGGAGGGGGCACAGTGGTCGGGCAGACAGCTGCAGCCAGAGCTAAATTTAGCCTCTGATCTGGCTTTGATGCAGATTCATTTTTGGCTAAGACAGCACAGCCCCCCTCCCTACCCTGCTTCTCCCTAGCAATGGGAAAGGCCGCCAAAGCATGAGCTTAGACCAGGACAGTGACCCCTAGGCTGTTCATTCTTCCTCAGCCCTAGACAGGATTGGGGCTGCCTCACAGCCGCCTCCTCCTGTGTGCAGCGGGCCTTGCTCCCAGGGTGCCGTGGGGTCTGGGGGAGAGGCAGACATGGTGCCCTCTTTCTCCTCCCAGTGCCAAGAAGTCACTATTTATAATTTTAAGGCTTTGGTGTCTAATTATAGCCGAGAAGGGGTTAGCAAGAGGGGGGCCAGGAGGTGTCACCTACCATGTGTCCCAGGCCCAGTCAGGAGAAAGGAGGGAAGGCTGAGTGAGGAGACTGGGAGGGGGCGCAGGCGTGTCCTGTCCTTACCTGGGGTCATGCAGAAGGGCCTCGCACAAGCCAGTTGGGGCCAGTTGGAGCGGGAAGGGCCTTGAGTGACAGTGACAGTCGTTGGGACTGAGGCAGTGCCAACGGGCGGGTTCTTTCCCCAACTCCACAGGGTCTTCTGGGGATAGACCAGGGAGGAGCCCGCCCGCTGCAAGGGTGGAGGGAATCTGGCCCCTTCCCCAGCTCTCCTCTGCGTCCCCTTTTAGGGCCGGCATATGGGTGAGGGGGCACCCCCTGGGGCCTGAGCTGCCCCGCACAGGATGCCCCGCGCCCCCCGCTTCATGCCCTGGCTGCTGCTGCTGCTGCTCTCACTGCCACACACCCAGGCCGCCTTTCCCCAGGACCCCCTCCCGCTGCTGACCTCTGACCTGCAAGGTGAGTGCCCGGTCCGGGCCGGGTGTGTGAGCTTAGCACTTGGTCTCGGCAGTTGGGCAGTTGGACACCAAGGCTCCCTGTGTGGGAGGCCAGGTGCGGGAAGGCTCCCGCCCGAGGAGGCTCAGAGCTGACGGCCAGCGGAGGGGAGCAGACAGGCAGGGTGAGCTGGCGCCTCAGGTCAGTTGCTTCTCGACCCTGAGTCGACTCGCTTCACTTCGAGGCAGCTGGGTAGTTCAGAACACGGGCTCTCAGCAGACCAGACCTGAGCAGGTGCAAACCCCGCTCACTAGCCGTGTGACCTTGGTCAAGTTATTTACCCTTTCTTCTCAGTCTCCTGAACTGCAGAATGAAGGTGATAATAATATTCTTCCTCGCGGACTTATTTAGGGGTTAGGCGAGGTAATACACGTACAGTGCCGAGGACGCTGTCTGGCGCAAAGTGAACGCTTCTTACGCGTTTGCCATTGTTACTGGTGACAAAAGGAAGGCTTGGGACCAGTTCAGCGGCACCCAGTGCCTCTCACCGCCCTCTCCACCACTCGTACCGCCACTCGGCCCACGTCCCGCCAGGATGGAAGCCGTCGACGCACTTTTTCTGAGAACTTTCTGTATTTGCAGGTTCCCGTGACATACGTAGGATTCAGAGTGATTTTAAGGATAGAGGAACTGCAGTCGGGTTACTGGGGCAGACAGGAGAAGCAAACGCTTCCATGTGCCAGACGCAGTTCCAAGCACTGTGCGAAAGCGTCTGCCCCCAGCTCTGGGCTCCCTTCGGCTCTGATGACTGTGGGTCCAGGGACCAGGCCGGGTGGATGCTGGAGTTTGTCAGAGGAGGCAGAAGCCTTGGAGGGTGGAGGCGGCCTGTGAACAACCATGAGGGAAGGGCGCAGAGAGAGGGCTGGGGGCAGTGGGGTGAGTGAGCGCGCCAGCCGGGTTGGTGTTCATCCATCATGAGAGCAAAAGGGAATCGCTAGTCCTAAGGCAGCTCCAAGAAGGGACTGGGCTCAGCCCTGGAGTCAGACAGACTGGGATCTGAATCTTGTTCCAAGCCAAATGAGTAACGCAAATGCCTGATGGGCTTTAAGCTCCAGGCTCCCCATCTGTGAAAAGGGGCCAATGCTAGTGTCTGCCTCTTGGGGCTGTGGTATTTAACGAGACAGTGCATCTAGGGTGTAACACAGTGCTCGGCAGAGTTAAGTGCTCAGAGTTAGCTAATACCATTTGTGTTAATAGCTTAATTAATACCTCACGGCTCATCTCATATACCCACTATGTTTGCGGCTGGGTTCCATCTGGTTGGGGAGGGGGTCGTGGGAGCGTGTGGTGTCACGGCTGGCCCTAGGCACGAACCTCTCTGTGCCTTCTAGGTACCTCCCCATTATCCTGGTTCCGGGGCCTGGAGGATGACGCCGTGGTTGCAGAACTTGGGCTGGACTTTCAGAGATTCCTGACCTTGAACCGGACCTTGCTAGTGGCTGCCCGGTAAACTGGCTGTGGCACAGTTGTGGGGTTGCCCTGCAGGCTGCTGGGTAGACGTGGGACCTGCATGGCCACTGCATGATCTTGCAGGGGACACATGAGGTGTCCAAGCCATGGGACATGGACGTGGTGGGGCCCAGAGCACAAATGCCAAGGCACGGGGTAAGGGGGAGGGAGGGGGCAGGCGGTCTGCACTGGGCAGCTGAGCATGGGCAAGGGAGGGGCTGAGGAGCTCAGGTGGGGTGACCTGGCTGCGCTCCGGTCTCTCTTTACCTGTTCCTTCAGGGACCATGTTTTCTCCTTCGATCTTCAAGCTCAAGAAGAAGGAGAGGGGCTGGTCCCCAACAAGGTGAGGGGCTGGCCACGGGGAGGAGGCTGTGGACGGAGGGTCTAAGGGGTCGCGGGGGTGGGAAGCAGAGTCCAGAGGAGCGTGATGGGGGGGGTCCAGCTGCCCTGTGACTGGCGCTCATCCTCTCTCCCGTCAGTATCTCACATGGAGGAGCCAGGACGTGGAGAACTGTGCCGTGCGGGGGAAGCTGACGGTGAGGGGCGGGACGAGAATTTCGGGGGGCGGGGAGGGGGGGAGATCACCCCGCCCCGGGGGCTCTATCCAAGCGGTCCCCAACACTGCCTGATTTCCCACCCAGTTCTCTCATCTCATTTTCAGAGGAAAATGTGCAGGAAAGAGAATTAATGATTTTAGCTCCCTCGACGAGCCTCACAGAAAAGAAAAGCGAGGCTCGGACAGGAGGCCGCAGGGCTGTCCAGCAGCTTTGCTGGGGCTGTGCCCCACGCGGCTCCGCCTGGCTCAAGGGGGGCGGCCTTACTTCCTGTGACCCCCTGTCCCAGGGACCCCGTGACTGACCTTTTTTGGGTTCCCTAGGACGAGTGCTACAACTACATTCGCGTTCTGGTCCCCTGGGACTCGCAGACGCTCCTGGCCTGTGGGACGAACTCATTCAGCCCCGTGTGCCGCAGCTATGGGGTGCGAGGGCGGGGCGGGGGCGGGGCCGGATGGGAGTGGGGAGGGACCAGGTGTGCAGTGGGTCTGGTGGGTGGGGACAGACCCGTGGGAGCGGAGGAGTGGGAATGCCCAGAGTGTGGGGGTCCAGAAAGAGTGGGGGAGGAGGCAAGGGGACAGGAAGTGGGTTATGGAGCCAGACTCCCCAAGACCCCAAGGGTTCCAAGACCTGCTCCCTCTGCCTCCAGATATCGTCGCTGCAGCAGGAGGGCGAGGAGCTGAGCGGGCAGGCTCGATGCCCCTTTGACACCGCGCAGTCCAACGTGGCCGTCTTCGCAGGTGGGCACCTGGGCATGTGAGAGCAGGCCTGTGGCTGGAGGGAGCACCCCGTAGGCCCCCTCCCAATTTGTGCCCTCCCAGCCCTGTGCTTCTGAGTGGAGGGTTGAGGCGGGGCCAGGATGCAGGTCCCTGAGCCTCCCCTGACCCCGGCCACCCACCCCTCCAGAGGGCAGCCTGTACTCGGCCACAGCTGCGGATTTCCAGGCCAGCGACGCTGTCGTGTACAGAAGCCTTGGGTCTCAGCCTCCGCTCCGCTCCGCCAAGTACGACTCCAAGTGGCTCCGAGGTCAGGGTGGGCCTGGGGAGGGAGGCTGCTCGTGGGGAGGAGGCTGGCGGGGAGGGCTGAGGCAGGGAGCAGGCGGCCAGTGGTGGCCATGTGCACGTGGGTGGAGGGGCGAGGCTGTGCGGGGCCAGAGTTTCTGAGCAGGTGTAGATACCCTTCCATGCCCTTTCCTGTCACCCCTCCTCAGAGCCGCACTTCATCCATGCCTTCGAGCATGGCGACCATGTCTACTTCTTCTTCCGAGAGGTCTCTGTGGAGGATGCTCGGCTGGGGAGGGTAAGGAGCGGGGAGCAGGGGTGGGTAGCGGGAGGGTTCTGCTGGGTCCTTGGGAGGCAGTCCGGGGACCATCCCTGGCCCTGATCTCCACAGCACAATCCCCTGGACCCTGAGCCCCCACCTTGGAGTAGCCCCCAGCCTTCTGCCCCCACATCCTGCTGTGTCCCTGGTCTGTGGCCCAGACTGAATCAGCGTAGCACATGCTTCCTTTGCTGCGTCTCTAACCTTTGTGTCCCGGTGCTCTAACTGCCGCGTTCCTCCCGCCCGCTGGCCCCGAGGCCATCTCTCACTGGTCTCCTTGTCCCCCAATCTTCAGGTGCAGTTCTCCCGTGTGGCCCGCGTGTGTAAGCGTGACATGGGCGGCTCACCTCGGGCCTTGGACCGCCACTGGACATCCTTCCTGAAGCTGCGGCTCAACTGCTCTGTCCCTGGGGACTCTGCCTTCTATTTTGACGTCTTACAGGCCTTGACTGGGCCCGTGGACTTGTTTGGCCGCTCTGCCCTCTTTGGGGTCTTCACCACCCAGACCAATAGGTTGGTACTAGACTAACCGATGTGGCCTGATCTGTCCCCTGTCCCACCAGCGTCCAAGCTCCCCTCCCCAAACTTACTGATGGTGTTAGAGCAGGGAAGCTCCAGTCAGAGCCAGTGGCTGTTCTGCCACCTTTTTTCTCCCAGCAGGGCACCCAGGGCACTGCCCCACCCTCTCAGGCTCCACCCCCCAGCATGGCACCCAGGGCACTGCCCCACCCTCTCAGGCTCCACCCCTTAATATGGTGCATGAAGGGTGGCTGCCAGGGCTCACCTGGAAGGAGCTCTGCTGTCCCTTCCGACACTTCGCCTTCTCTGGCTCCCTCAGCATTCCTGGCTCTGCGGTCTGCGCCTTCTACCTGGATGATATTGAGCGTGGGTTTGAGGGCAAGTTCAAGGAGCAGAGGAGTCTGGATGGGCCGTGGACCCCTGTGTCTGAGGACAGGGTCCCCTCCCCCAGGTACCCAGGATGGAGGTGGCTTTTGTGGGGCAGAATGGAGCAGTGTCTGCTCCCAGGATGGGACTGTAAGGAAAGGGGAAGGTGTCCAGGGCCTGGGAAGTGCTGTCATGGGTTGGCAGTGGGACTGGCGAGCTGCACCTGGGAAGGGAAACCAGGGTGCGCGCTTGTGGAGGGGGAGCCAGGGCTGCCAATCATGTCTAGGGGCAGTGGGGGATGGGGCAAAGAGCCTGACTCCAACCGGCTCCCTCCCTGAGGCGGCCCCCTCCCGCTGTGTCCACCAGGCCAGGATCCTGTGCCGGAGTGGGTGTAGCTGCCTTGTTCCCCTCTTCCCGAGATCTCCCTGACGATGTCCTGACCTTCATCAAGGCTCACCCACTGCTGGACCCCGCTGTGCCACCGGCCACCCGCCAGCCTCTGCTCACCCTCACCAGCAGGTACGGGGCTGTAAAATGCTGACCACTGCCCTTCCCTCTCAGCCGCTTCTCCTTTGACCCCACAACGTAAATCACATTGGCGGGAGGAAGGACCCGTGGGAATGGAAGGAAGGGAGCGAAGAAGGAAACCCTGGGCTAGGGGAAGGGCCCGGGCTGGGTTCCAGGACACGCGGGCTGTCCTTGGAACATGCAAGCATCTACTGGTCCCCTTGCCCTGACCCGAGGCCTGTCCCTCCAGGGCCCTACTGACCCAGGTAGCCGTGGATGGTGCGGCTGGTCCCTATGGCAACACAACAGTTCTGTTCCTCGGCTCCAACGATGGGACAGTGCTGAAGGTGCTGCCCCCAGGGGGGCAGCCTGGGGGCCGCGAGCCCATCCTATTGGAAGAGATTGATGCCTACAGCCCCTCCCGGTGAGGACAGGCCCCCCCGCGGAGCAGGGGTGGGACGTGAGGTGGTAGACAGGGATGTGGGGATGGGGTGGGAGCTCCAGCGTGGGTTTCTGCAGCTATGGGATACAGAGAGGGGCTTGGTGAGAAGCCGGACCGTGCGGTGGCGTGGCGTGGTCACTCCGGAAGCCCAGCCCCGTGGGCTGCACTCAGCTGCTTGTGCACCTCCCCAGGGAAACAGGACCCTCACCAGGCCTGCCCCTCTGACTCCTTCTGGCCTCACTCTAGGTGCAGTGGGAAGCGGGCAGCCCACACGGCACGGCGGGTCATAGGGCTGGAGCTGGACACTGAGGGTCACAGGCTCTTCGTGGCTTTTTCTGGCTGCATCATCTACCTCCCTCTCAGTCGGTGTGCCCGGCACGGGGCCTGCCGGAGGTGAGAGGGGCCTGGGGGCTAGGCCCTGTCTGGGTGGGCTCCCCGGGCCAGGAGGAGCTCGGGAACACGGGCTTTGGGCGTGGCAGGGAAATAAGTGTCAGGGATGGTTGGTGGGGACCTCAAGCCTCCCACAGGTGGGCAGTAACCAGAGTCAGGAATAGGCGTTGGGTGGATAGGATGGGGGCGTCGGGCTAGGAAGCTCCTGTGGGCCAGGGTGAGAGTAGAAAAGGCGGGGGAATGGAGAGGGTCCCAGCCTCGCGTGACTCAGTTTTCCCTAGGAGCTGTCTGGCTTCTCGGGACCCGTACTGCGGATGGCATAGCTCCAGAGGCTGTGTGGATATTAGGGGACCTGGTGGGTAAGTGAGGGGCCCCCAGATCGCCTGAGAAAAGAGTTGCCCACCACAAAGAGAGGAGGCTGACGGCATGGGTAGGGGACAGGGGCAAGATGCACCGCTGCATTGAGCCACCTCCATTTCCTCCTAGGACTGATGTGGATCCAGCTGGGAACCAGGAATCCATGGAGCACGGTGACTGCCAAGGTAAACAGGAGGGGAGGCTGCTGGAGCCATGGCTGCACGCGGCCCCGATGGCCGGACGCAGCCCAGGCACGGGTTTCATCTTCCTTTCTCTCTGTGGTGCAGTCAGTCACCTCCCCAGTTCTTCATGAAGCTTCCCCCAGCCCCCACCTTCACCCTCTCTCCCTTCCCATAGACGGAGCCACCGGGAGTCAGTCCGGCGCAGGGAATTCTGCTTATGGTGAGTCCTCTTGTCCCAGCTTCACCTTCCCTTGCTCGGCCCACACTTGCCCACGTCTGTGCCCACGGTAGCAGCAGACCAGCACCCTGGACACCCTGAGTCTCAGAACAGGGTTCCATCTTTCCAAATGCCCAGCATACAGCTCAGTGCTTGGCTTACAGTAGGGTGCTTAATAAATAGTTTTGAACAAGTAAATGAATGTCCTGCATGGTGAGCCCTTCCCCACACCCAGAGGGAAGTGGAGCCTGGAGTTCTGGACCTTTGGGTTCTGGGATGGGGGTGGGGTGGGGACCCACTGAACGGGTGTCAGAGGTGGAGAGCAGGAGCCTCACTGGCTCTGACCTGGTCTCTGTCACCAGTGCTTCTGGGTCCTGGCCCTTCCCCTGAGACCCCCAGCCCCCCCAGTGATGCCCACCCCCGGCCCCAGTCTTCCACTCTTGGAGCTCAGACGCAGGGTAAGGGGGCTGGCTGGGAGGGACAGGAGTGAAGTGTGGGACCCCTGGTTCTTGAAGAATCCTAAGCCCCTCACTGACCCAGTGTTCCGTGCCCACTAATACCTGTTTGGAGCCTCCCCTCCCAGAGCTGGGCGTCCCAGCGTGGCCTCCTTGCTGCTCCCGCAGTGTGGCAGTTGCTCTTGGCTTGGTCACCGGGCCAGGGGCCCAGAGCTTGTGATGGGGACTCGCGGGCCCAAGCTCTGGCCTGTGTGTGTGGGTGGTGCCATTGGCTCTGTGTGTGGAGGGGTCAGGGGAAGGGATTCGGAGGGGGAATCAAGGCTGTGTCGGAGAGAAGCTGAGCAGTAGCAGGAGAGGTGAAAGTTCCAGAACCGGCCATCCCAGCTCGCCGGCCTTGGCTGAGCCTCCCCCTCTCGGTCGGCAGGCGTGCGCCGAGACCTCCCCGCAGCCTCGGCCTCCCGCTCCGTTCCCATCCCCCTGCTCCTGGCCTGTGTGGCCGCAGCCTTCGCCCTGGGCGCCTCCGTCTCTGGCCTCCTGGTCTCCTGCGCTT